GTCCCCCCCGCCGCCGCGATGGGGCTGGGGTAGGAGTAGATGTGGTTGTAGGGCAGGGCGGGCTGGGGAGGCGGCTGGTGCTGTTTGTAGGAGTCGTAGTGACTCTGCTGGGAAAGGTTTCCAATTTTGTTCCGGAGGATCCGGCTGATGGAGCTGACGGAGGGCACATTGTATTTGTCGCACACGCCGTCTGCCAGCAGGCGATCCCGGATCTCCCAGGCGAAGATGCCGGGATCCCTTTGTTTGTAGGTCCGGATGTGTTTCACGACCGTGGGGGTGGTGACCCGGGGCTTGCTGCCTCCGATCGCCCCGGGTAGGATGGAGCCAGTCTCGTTGTAGCGAGCCAAGATTTTGCTGACACAGCCATGGGAAACCCGCAGTTGTCGGCTGATGTCACAGGGTCGGATGCCCAGTTGGGCCAGTTCCACAATCCGGAGCCTGATGGCATTGGGCAGGGGTCTCCCATTCACGAACACCCCGCCGAGCTGGTTCACCTCCCCAAAGGCAGGCTCTGCAAGCAAACACACAACACACGCATTGGACACGGTAAAGCTGGTTAAGGGGGGAGGGGAGGGGAGGGGAGGGGGGCGTCTGGACTCAGCAGCATCACAAGGCAGATGGCACTGAGTCACTTCACTCGCATTTTTCCCCCCAAGGAAAAAAAAAAATCTCGTGTTACCGACACAGGAAAAATCCGCGGAAAACACTTTGCACTGGGCGAGAAGCGTATTCCAAAAACGCACATTCCAGAGATGAAAAATGAGCTCGGGCGAGCAGACAAATCTGCAAGAAGAAGCCCCGCGAAAGCGAGCACTGAGCTCTGCAAACTCTGCAGAGCCGGGAGAAAACCAGCCTTCAAAAGCAGTCACTTAGAGGGGGAAAAACAAGAAAAAGAAGAAAAGAAAAGAAACACACCCTCCCCCACCAAATCTGGGTGCTGCTTGTTTGTATTCGCGCCGCTTTGTTAACAGCACCATTACACCGCCCTGCAAGGCAAACGGGTTACATTTTGAACTGTTCAAATCGGTGTCAGCAATAATATACAACGTGCCACGGGCTCCAGCCATCCATTAGGCTGCAGCCCTTTAATACTCACTCTCTTAATAGCATTAATAATAAACCAACCAGTCATTAGCTCGCTCCATTCTGCTCTGCTGACCCTTAACATGTTCCTACAACTCGTAGGAACACGGACAAAGTCAATAAGCAAATTGTGGCTGCCCATGATCTCACCCTGGTGCTCTGCCTTGACAGCCCTTGAGCCCTCCTGCAGCTCCCAGCCACTTACCCATTGCTCTTTAGCAGGACACCAGGGAGGCTACTCTAGCTGCCAAGAGGCAACCTAACAACCGAGTCGGTGTCCCAGCCTCCTGCACTGCCGGCTGGAATAGCCCCCGGGTCCCTCTGATTTCCACTGAGGAGATAGCAAGCATGTAAGGAAAAAGGACTACGAGGAAGTCTGTTTCCCGATGAAAGAGACTTGAGTTCTGCATTTCAATCTCACGGCAACGTGGGCAGGGCTGGGCTGGACAGGACGTCCCAGTCTATCAGTCACCAGAGGCCCGCCCCCTGGGGGGCGGACCCAAGGCAAAGCGAGCTCCCTATTGGTAGGGTCGGATGACAGACAGCATCATCCTGGAAGTCTCTTCCGCTCCCTCTTGCAGGCATGCTTAGCACCTGGATTGCTAATACAATAGAAATGACTATTTAATACCTGCGTAATGGTAAGTTACACAGAAACTGGCAGTGCGCTGAATACTTAAATGCTAGCACTTTTGTAAGTCATTCTTTTGCAGGGGAAAAAATACTAATAATTTGTTCTGTCTGCTGGGTGGGTCAGAGCTCTCAAGTTGACCTATTTCCAGGGGTTGGCAGTACCTTTAATATAATATGCTGCTACCAGCAGGACAGATGTGAAGCTCATCTCTCTCCAGAGAGAAGCAATTAGTTCAAAGTCTGAAACTATGTTTGCCTTTTGTTTCATACAAGTGTCTGTGCCATGGTTCCTTGTAAAGAGAATTATCAGAAAGAAGAAGAAAAAAAAGGGGGGGGTGATCTTTATACTCAGCAACTGCTGTTGGCAGCTTCACAGGAAAGTAGGAGAGAAGTCTGGAGAAATAAATCAGGGCTTTTTAACATTTCTGTCCCAGAGAATAGGATTTGGTTGTATTTTTATACGATCATCTGGCTGCACTTTTACAAATAAAATGCCTTTTCCTATGTGAACATGCGATCAAGCTGAGGCACCACAGAGCTGTCAGTGTTAAAGGTAAAATGGTGTTTGTTAGGAACCAGGAGTATATAGCAAAGTGAAGTCAGTCTGCGAGCTGAGAGGATGCGGATAGGCATTCAGCAGGGTTCAGAGGAGAACCCGTTGTCTTTTGACCTCCTTGGTGTTGGGTTGGGTGCTCTTGGGACAATTTCCCCTTCCTATCCTAAACATGACCTCCTGTTTGGCTACCCTATGTGAAGCCTCGGAGCTGATTGTTACTTCATAAAAAACCCTAGCACAGTTTAAAAAACAAAACAAACAAACAAAACCCCCCTAAACAGTGACAAGAAAATCAACCCAGAAAGTTAGCTGGCATACGAGGACGCGTGGTTCATCATATGTTTCTGCATATGTGCGAGTGTATTAGGCGTGTTGTCGTTGGCTTTGTAGCGGGTACGGTTCATGATCTCTGTGTGTGGACACACTTACGCAGGTCCCACAAATCTACACACACAGCTTAAACCTTCTCCAGTTCCAACCAGGATTCTCTTATTTTTCCTTTCAAATGTTGCGTTTTGCAACACTAAAGTTTACAAGGATCGGTGAATGTTTCTTCACCTAGGAATTACTTGTTGTGGACAAACTACCTGACAATAAAAGGATTTTAAAAAATGTGATTTGCCTTCAACTGAGTGTATTTGCTTTGCTTCCAGAAATCCTTTTCATATGAAATAGGTGAAACCGAGGGCATTTTTGAAAGCAGAGAGTTAGTTAGAAACCCGAACGGAATGTTAATGAATGCAGGACTTTGCTGTGCAATATTGTTTGTGCTCAAGTAAACCTGCACACCATAGAAATGAGTAGGATAGTCCAGGATCAGTGATCCTCGGTGGAGGGAAGGGAGGACATGAGTCTGTTACGGATTTTTTTGTACTCGAATAGCGATAGGTACGTTTGGGATCCGCCGTGACTCGAACTTATGCGCTCTGTGCCGGCGTTCCGGCATTTGCCTAGTCACAATATCATAATTGGCAATCGTGAAATATCCTCACTTTCGCCCAGCGACACAAACCTCTTCCGTTGTGCAGCGCCTTGACATCGCTCCGCGCTGTTCAGCTGAGCGGGCTCAGAGGAGCTGCTGGGAACAGAAATACTTTTGTCACAGGCTGTGGACGCTTTCTGTGTGTTTTGAAAAGAGGAGGTAATGATGTATGGAAGACTAACACCGCACTAATCAAGGTTCATTATGTCATTTAACAATGCAGGGGAGGAGGGCATGGCCATAACGCTTCCGATCTGAATTCATGACAGCCGCCTTTCGGAACTGGAATCGTTAGACGAAGCCTTTACAAGACCCGGTATTTTCTTCAGCTACGGTTTCCCCTCTGCCTTTCCCGGCTAGAGTTGCAGCATATCCCACCTTTGCCTAAATGACTGCATGCTAGCACCTAAAACCAGGACCTTGCCCTAGGGATGTCCGAAGATGCTCAGGGCTGCTCACATGCATGCTCTGTGCCTCAGTCGCTGCCTAGTAGCCGTCGTGGCCGCTTCTTCCTGGGAAGTGGGGGGTGTGCAGGGAAGATCGCCAGGCTCAGGATGCTTTGGACTTGGGGTGAGCGCCGGGCGCTGGAGGGCCCGATCCCGCAGCTCGGGGCTCAGTCCCGCCACCCCGCAGTGGCCTCTGGACTATCGCATCAGCCTTGTGCCTCCCCCCCATCTCCTCCAGCATCTTCCAACCGGTCTCCCCCGCTCTGCCCCCGCCCGCGCCTCCGATCCCTGGGATATTCGGTTTCTTTTCCTTTCTCAATGTGTGTTCCTGATGTGGTCCTGTCGGAAAAGCTCGTTTACTCTGCCCGGGTCTCCAGTGGTTTAAGGATAATGTTTATCAGAAGTGAACGTGCTCAACTTGTTTCCATTTAACTGCTGAGTGCAGGCTGAAATAACAAAGGTCACATCCACAGTGAGTCGGCAGAGGGCAGGGGGAGCCGCGAGGGGGAGGAAAACATTATCATATACAACGGCCTGTTGATCGCGGGGACCTGCCTGGCAAAAAGATTAATTTCAGGTACAAAATAATGCAATAATGAGTGTGCATGGCTGCTTCCGCCCCAGCAGGCGGACAGTGGGGCTGACACTGGCAGAGGTTAATCAGCGAGTTTGGAAAAGTGTGTGTGTGGGGGGGG